AGAAAACCTCATCTTTCCCCTGAGGAGCGGCTGGTGGTTTTGAACTGCAGACCTCATGGTCAGCAGCCGAACAAATAACCACTGTGACACCAGAGAACCACGAAGGGCCACAGGTGTGAGGCCCCTGACACAGTGCTCATGGTGTGGGAGTGGAGCCTAGTGCCCCTCCATCCAACAAGCCCAGGGAGGGCTTCCGACCAGCCCTGGCCACCAGCAGGCAGTAGACAGAGCCCAAGCTCCCTGCCCTCAGGGTCACTCTCTCTCCTCACCCACCCCTGCCCAGCTCAGGGCAAGGGCCAACATCCCTCCAGGAGAATTGTGTCCCCAGAGAGTGGAAACTTCCAAAGTCCCTCTGATCTGCCATTGGGAAAGCAGACAGGAGGGTGAAAAAGAGCCGGAATGCCAGCCCAGCCCCCAGATCGCAGCCCTGCGGCCAACCTCTGGAATCCAGGGTTTGCCACGCTCGCTCCTCCGCCCTCTCAGCATCCCCCAGCCCTGGGGACACACCGTCCACATACCTCTCCATGCTCCCCTCCTGCTTAATCAGCCAACCAGTCAGGGGCACCCAGGACACCGGTGTTCTTTCAGGACACCAAACCGAGGCAAAGGCCCTGGAATGAAGCACTGGTGGTGGTATTGTAGTTAAGAGTGGGGCTGATAACGACAAGGTCAACCGTTTGAAACCACCCGCCCGCCCCACTGCAGAAAGATGAGGCTTTCTGTTCTGGGAAAGAGTTACAGTGTCAGAAACCCACAGGGGTAGTGCTACACTGTGTTCTAGGGTCGCTATGAATCAACTCAACGGCAGTGAGTTGGTTGGGATTTTGGTGGGACTCTGGGCGCTGTAGGGAGCTGGCAAGGCAAACCTACCAGCTACCAGCATGGCCAGAGCCCCGAGCTTTCAGGCTTTTAAAAAGCTGCAGACACGTTCCTTTCAACAAAATCCACAGCACATGTCACTCTGCCCCCACAACTCTGTGCGGTCACCAGCAGGCTCCAGGGGAGGACACTTAGGCTTGGTGAGGAGCAGTCAGAGCTGAGAAAGAGAATGCGTACACACCCCTGACAGCCAGCCCCGCAGCTGCACACACACACAGAACACAAACAGCCGCTAGAGCGCCAGCCACAGACAAGGCTGCTTTGTGATGCTTCTATGGGACAAACACAAACCCGCTGGACCGCCAGAGGAGGCTCTGGGTGCCAAGAACAGCTGAGCCTGCAGCTACTAACTGCCAGGTTGGAGGTTGGACTCTCCCAGATGCGCCTCCAAAGAATGTCCTGGCGATTGACTTCCTGAAGGTGACAGCGCATGAAAACCCCAGGGCGGGGGGTTGTCCTCTGACACACATCGGGTGCCCAGGAGTCAGGGTTGGGGGTTGGGGTTAGGAACTTATGACCAAGGACTCACAAGAAGGGACTTTGGTTACACCCCAGGATGACTAACATCTCCCCGCTGTCTCCGCACAGGAAGGATGGCTTCTTTGCCAACGACAGGGAAGCCTGCTAAAGCAGCCACTCATGTAGGGACGAAGCCTGTCTGAGAAGCAACATCGGAATATCTCTCCCCACTGGAGAGCCACAGTCAAGTGGTCTGACGGCACCCTGCCAGCGGCAGAATTCCAGCTCCCACAGGTTTCCCTGGAACACATCCGCTGGGACAGACGGGGCTTCCGTCCTCGAGAAGCTTGATGAAGACACCCTGTTGCAGGAGCAGCCTGCTCCCTGACAGCACCCAGCCCAGAGCAAAGCTCTGTCTCCTAACCAAACAAACAAATAAAACCTAGTTGCCCTAGTGGTATAGTGGTTATGTGTTGGGCTATGATCCACATGGTCGGCAGTTTGAGACCAGCAGCAGCTCCGAGGGAGAAAGACAGGGCTTTCTACCCCCGTAAACAGTTGCCATCTCGGCCACCCACAGGGGCACTTCAACCTGTCCAACGGGGTTGCTGTGAGTCAGCAAAGACCCGATGGCAGTGAGTTTGGCTGGTCACTGCCATCGAGTGGCCTCCAATGTTCAGTCACGGTCATGTGTGTCTGAGCAGTGCTGACCTCCACGGGGTCTGCAGTGTCGCCAGGTCTTTCTCGGACGCACCTCAAGGCAGACTCAAACCACCCACTCTCCAGTTAGCGGTGGAGTGCAGTCAGCGTGTGCACCACCCTGGGGCTCTGCTTCCTTCCTGCCCTCCCCCAAACCATGACCACAAGCCCATGGCCTATTCGAAGTCCTTTCTTTCTTTTTTTATTCATCATTTTATTGGGGGGGGCTCTTACAAATCTTATAACAATCCATCATTCAATTGTATTAAGCACGCTTATACATATGTTGCCATCAACATTTCCAAAACATTTTCTTTCTACTGGAGCCCTTGGTATCAGCTCCTCTTTTTTCCCCTCCCCCCTCCTCCCTTCATGAATCCTTGATCAATTTTATATTATTATTGCTATTTCGTGTCTTACACTGTCCTTTGTCTCCCTTCACCCACATTTCTGTTATTCATCCCCCCTGGGGGGCTACATATCCAACCTTGTGATGGGTTCCCCCTTTGTCTGCCTTGCCTGGTGGTATAGTGGTTACGTGTTGGGCTGTGACCCAAGTGGTTGTCATGATATCTCTACTCCCACTACTGTTCCTGAGGGGTTTATCTGTCCTGAATTCCATGTGTTGAGAGCTCTTATCTGTACCAATGTGTGTTCTCCGTCTGGTCTAGCTGGATCTGTAAGTTAGAACTGGGTCGTGGTAGTGGGGGAGCCTTCAGGAACTAGAGGAATGATGTGTGTTCCTTCAGTGCTATACTGCACCCTGGTTGGATCATCCTTTCCTTGTGATGCTTCTGTGGGGGGATGTCCAATTGTCTACAGATGGGCTTTGGGTCTCCACTCCAACCCCCCTCTTTCACATAGATATGATTTCTTTGTTTTGTTTTGAGTCTTTGATGCCTGATACCTGATCCTCTCAACACCTCATGATCACACAGGCCGGTGTGCTTCTTCAATGTGGGCTTATTTGCTTTCCTGTTCAATGGCCACTTATTTGACTTCAAGCCTTTAAGACCCCAGATGCTATATCTTTTGATAGCTGAACACCATCCACTTTCTTCACCACATTTGCTTATGCACCCATTTTGTCTTTAGTAATCATGTCAGGAAGGTGAGTATCAGAGTGCCACGTTATTAGAACAAAGTGTTCTTGTGTTAAAGGGAAGCCTTGAGTAGAGGTCCAAAGTCCGTCTGCTACCTTAATACTTACCATATATATATATATATATATATATATATATATATATATATATATATATACACATTGGCCTCTATATTTTTCATTATCAATTAATATATTTACACATATCCATGCCCATAGCTATACCTCTATAAATAGTTTTTGCCTCCTATTTCTCTCCTCTATCCCCTTTCACCTTCTTCCTATCCCACTATCATGCTCACCCTCCGTTAGGCTCTCAGTAATTCCTCTCAGATGCATTGCACTTGATCAAAACCACCAGGCATTATACGCCTTCCTCACCATCAGTTGTAGATCTCTTGTTGTTCCCTTGTCCCTGAGTTTGTTGGCTTCCCCTCCCTGCCCCCTCCTTGCCCACGTTCCCCAGGACTGCTGATTCCATGTTTTTTTTCTTCGGGATTGTTTGTCCGCTCTATCTTATATAGATAGACATAGAGTGAAAGGGGAAAAAAAAACACCCAATAGATAGTTGAGGTTTGTCTGCTGACCCTAATGAGTGTTTTCCAATCAGGTCTGACACAGTGCAAACCCTGTCCCCCAAGTAAGAAGTCTAGTTTCAGGATTCCTCAGGGACTTCGTTACTTTGCTCCCCTTGCTGCCCTGTTGCACCCACTTCGAGTTTCGCCTCACTGTGCATGGTGCAGACAGACACATTTTCCACACAGTGTTTCCCATAGCACTATGGGTCAGTGAGGGACCATCATGTCTAAGGTGACCAGATTTAAAGGGGGGGGGGTTTCTTGATTAAAAATTTGATCTATATGGACCAAATAGACCGTTCCCTAGCTTGTCGTGCATTCTTTCCAAAAATTGGGACTTTTTAAAAACGCCAAAAATCGGGACTGTCCAGCCAGAAGTGGGACGTCTGGTCACCTTAATCATGTCTCATGGTGGGGCCGGCCCTACAGTCCTATGTATTGGCTGCTCTGAGCAGGGGTCATCCTCGGGGCTTGGTGGGCTTTCTAACCCTGCCTGCTGACACACCCCATGGCCCTGGTACTGCCTGTCCCTCCTCCCTGCACTGGCTGCAACAAGAGTCAACTGTAAACTGAACATCTTCAGCCCCACAGGCCAGGCCAGGCAGGCCCCTCCCCCACACCCCTGCAAGGTGCAAAGACATGGGCAGAGGCCAGATGGGCGGGGCAGGGGTGGCGAACAAGGCAGGTGGACTAGCCCAGGGTCCAGAGGATGCATTGTCCACATGGGACACTTTTGAGAGTGAAAGGGCGCGCTACTTGCTACAGTGGCATAGCTTGGGACTGTCCCAAGCCAGTGTGGGTATAGGGCCTCCCTCTCCCGCAGCAAGGGTGGTAGGAGCCCCAGGAAAGAGCCAGGGCCCCAGCCTCACCGTCTCTCTCCTCTGCAGGTCCCCAAACACCATCAGTCAGAGACATCAACTACCCTGGCTCCTGTTTCCTGCCAGGGGGTGCCCTGCGGTTGAGCCTCAGGAGCCAGTCCCACACCCCTGCCCCACGTGTTCCCCAACCTGTGGCTGGTGTCCACTTTCCAGAGAGTGCCCTCCGTGCCAGTGGGCAAGACACCTCATATACCCTGCCCAGAGGGGGCGTGAGTGTAGTGGACGGAGAAGAATTTGCCGGGTGAAAGAAGGTGACCCTTGGGGACGGTGACAACATTTATTTTATTTCAGCCGTATCAGTGCTGGCATCTCTGTGCTGTGCTTCAGGCGCTTTCCCGCCTCCATACACACTGGCAGATTCGATGGTCCTGCCCCACCCCTACCCCACCCCCCGCCCCCGTGAGCAGGGACACTGATCACCACAGCAGAGGGGACATGCCCCGTGGCAGCCTTCATGACGAGGCTTTCATGCTGGAGGTAAAACAGTCCCAAAAAAGAGGGTGCACAGAGGGGCTTCCCTTTCCCGGGCCAGAGCCCCACCACCACCCCTGAGCAGAGGCCCTGCCCAGGCGAGGGTCCCCGATGTCCAGGAGCAGGGAGAGAGTGCTGCGGCCCCTTTGTCCACAGCGCCAGCCCCTGCTCTGTGGGGCTGCCTGCAGCAGCATCTTCAGCTGCCCTGGGGGTCTGCGAGCCTGTGACTCTGCTGGCCCTACTACATGTGTCTGTCCCCTCCCTTCTCCCACCTTGGCCCCTGCTCTGTATGCCGCCCAAGCTTGCTGGAAGGGGAGCTGTTCTAGGGCATATTTCTGTCCCTTACACACCCGAGGGGGTGGGGGGGAAGGGGACGGGATGGGTCAAAGGGAAGCTTAGGAAGCTCTCCTCCACCAACAATCCTGAACCATAGACCAGGGGCTGGGACTCCTTCCTGGGAAAACCCCATCACGCTCTCACTTAAAGTCTCAATGTTCTGCGGCTCCCTACTGTGTGAGTGGAGCCCAGATGGCGCGTGTCGCTGGGTAAGCAGTGGGCTGCTAAGTGCCCGGTTCAAACCCACCATTCGCCGTGTGGGAGAAAGAGGAGGCAGTTTTGTTTGCGCGTGAAAGATTCAGTCTCACAGACCCTCGAGCCGCCATGAGTCAGGATTGAACCCGTGGCAGTGGGTGTTTGGGGTTTCTTGTGGGTGCAGGAGGTTGGTTTGGGCTGGGCCTGGCCTTTGGAGGTGTGAGTGCCAAAAACATCCAGGGCTGGGAGCTGGGAGCCCTGGGGAGGGGTGCCAGCTGGGCATGGGAGGCAGGACGGGAGTACATAGGACACTCCCTGAGCCGGAGGCAGGCGGAAAGGCTGCAGGGGTGTGGGTGTGAGGTCCAGAGAAGAGGACTCCTGTGAGGAGCAGCCCCGGGTGGGCAGCGTGGGTGGGGCCAGGCAAGGACGTGGCATTGGGAGCAGAGCGCAAGGGGCACATGCATTAGGGGCAAAGTCAGTTCTGCGTCCAGGGGAAAGCGGTGGAAGAAGTGCGCAGGACCGACAAGAGGCAGTGCCCCATCTGCCGGACAGAGTAAAAGATGCAGCACGATGTGGGAATCTGGAGAGGCCTTTGGGGGACCCCACATAGCACCAAGGAGGGTCCCTGCCAGGTCCCAGCATGGGGGAAAGTGTAGAAAGCCCTGAGGGGCCGAGCTGCTGACCGTCTTCCCAGTGAGTCCTGGTTTACCTTCCCAGTTCTGCCAAAGACCAGGAAGCAAACTGTGTTGGAATTGTGTTGAATGAAAAACTGACTGGCTCTGTAAACCTTTACCCCAAATTCACAATAAAATGTTAAAAAACAAACAAACCCACTTTGCTAATAAAAATGAACAATTGGAGCCAACGTGGCCGACTGATAGCAATCTCCCCTTCCCAGCACATTTCTCAAGGGGTCTCAGTCCCCATCTCCTCAGAAGTTCCAAACAACCCCATTTTGCAGCAAGGAGCACTGAGACCCCATGAGGTTAGCAGCCTAGCCAGGCTAGACCCCAGGGAGCGGAGTGATCTCAGTCCTGGGTATCAGGCTCAAAGTCCAGCTCCTTGTCTGGAAGGGGGTCCCCCAGCCCATCGGGCAGCCCGTAGTACAAGTCATCTCCCTCCTGAAGCTCCTCGTGGCCTGGGTCCGACGCCTCCTCCTCCTTCATCCTGGGACAGCCCTGCCAGCTGCTGGGCAAGACAGCCTCCTGCTGTGACCCCTCAGGGGCCATGTCCCCGGACACTGGGGCATCAATTAGGGCAAAGTCGTGGAAGCGGTCCAGCCGGCATCTGCAGACCCAGGGGTCCAGTGGTGGGTGAGGCTCCTCCCCGTTGGGTGGCGATGGACTGGGGCTGCTGTCCTCGCTGGAGCCCAAGTCCGGGCTCTCTGGGAAGGAGGCCAGTGGGGCAGGGCCCTGGAGAGGGGCCTGGGGGCTATAGGGCAAAGGCCAAGAAGGCAAGCATAACTCTGAGTCAGACTGCCTGAGTCTCAATCTAGCCACTAGCTTCCTGGCTGGGCTGGGACAAGTAGCCTCTCTGTGCCCCAGTTTCCTCCTCTGCAGAGTGGGGGACGTAACAGGGCTGTTTCTGGGGGTCACGCAGATTAGCGCACTTGGCGCAGTACACGGCAGCTGCTCAGGAAATGGGAGCTCTTAGGATGCTCCTCTCCACTCAAGGTCACCCGCTCACTCCCCCAACCCCTGTCTCCTGTGGGCCCTCACAGCCCATCACCCTGGGGTGGGCTCATTAGACTGGGAGCCCCTGGAGGGAGCAGGTGCCAGCAATGGCTCTGAGAAATGCGTGGATGGGCCGGGAACTCAGTTCACAAAAGATGGGTGTGGGCCAGGGTGGAGAGTGGCTTGCCAGGGGTCCCAGGCAGGACTTGAGCTCAGCTTTCCTCTGTGCCCTCACCCCCACTCTGTGCGGTGAGTGTTCAGAGAGAGCAGGTCTGCCCTGTGCCAGGACTGTCAGTCCCTGTCTCAGTCTTCCCAGCAACCCTGAGTCACAGGGATAGCCACTCCTCGGGGTGGGGAGCCGGGGGGATGACTGAGGCCCAGGGGCATTAATAAACCTCACCAAGGTTACACAGCAGAGGAACTGGGACTTGAACCCAGGTCTGTCTGACTCCTGAGTCCTCTTCCCTTGCTCCCCTAGACCCACTCCCCACTGCCCTGTGCTTATTCCAAATGTCCCCAGCCACCCCTGGGCCACCCCGCACCCCTTCCCTCCTTCAACCTGCACTGGGCTGCATTACCCCCCCTCCCCAGCCCCGCTTCTCTCTCCACGGGCTCACCTGGACTTGATCTGAGCTGGACTTGGTTCTCCCTCGTCCGAGCCCTGGTGGACGACCACAGCGGCCTCCATCCAGGCCTGGGAAGCCACAGGGCCGTCTTCCCTTCCGTCACTGGCTCTGGGCTGCGGCAGCCCCTGCTCAGAGGTCAGCAGGGGCCGGGGGTCCTCACTGTAGTGCATGACGTTCATCTGGATGTGGCTGAAGTCAGGCAGGCTCTGGTCGTAGGCAGCGTCCTCCCATAGCCTGACGTAGGTGGGCTGGAGGCTGCAGGGCATGGGAAAGAGTGGGGTGTGGAGGGAATAGACCGAGGCCATGCCTCACCCAGCAAACACCCCACATTGTGCCTGTGGGCCCTGTTCCAGGTATCTGGTTTCCTGTCATCTCCCAAGCAGGGTGGGCTGGGGGTGATGGTGCGTTGGTGGGAGATGACTACTGTACCCATTTCATGGATGAGGAGACTGAGGAGGCCCAGCAAGGCAAGGGAATGAAGTGGCAACGTGAGGGCGTGACACTACATGATGTCTCCTTCCAGGGGGCTAGCCCTGAGAGTTCACTGTCTCCCAGTCGCCCGTGGGCCGAGGGCTTTACCCTCGCCATCCTGAGAGTGCTAGAGAGTTCTAGACCTTGAAGATGTTTCCCTCCCATTTGACAGACGTGGTCAGAAGAGCAACAAGAGCCCACAGCTATTGAGTTCTCTAAGTGATTAGCGGACCCCTCTAATCCTCTAAGTGATTAGTGGACCCCTCTAATCCTCACCACCATTCTGGAAGATGCTTGAGAAAAAGGAGGCACAGACACTGGAAAGGATAGCCCCGGGTGATACAGTCACAAGGGAATGGCACTGGGGACCACAGGCCATTGTGCCCCCGAAAATGAGGTCCAGAGACTAGACCTCGCCCAGGGACACAGAGGGGGGAGGCAGTAGAGCGGAGAGCGGAAACCAGGGGGGCCGGAGCCCCAGCTCTCCCACCGTGGCCTCCGGGTGTAGCCAAGGCCCCGGGACAGAGCTTGCCTGGCTCCCACCCCACCTGGGATCTGTCTCCTCATTCCCACCTGGGCATTTGGTAACCCTGTACACCCAGAGCAGAACAAGCCACCAGCACGAACTTTCCCAAGCCGAGTAAATAGTCCCAGAGCCCAAGCCCACAGACCCCACGGCAGCAAGCCAAGCCTTCTGCACACTGGGCCCAGGCAGGGGCTGGGGGGACGGGCAGTGCCTGGATGACCCTGGGCTGAACCGCCCAGGACGGAGGCTGGTCTGCAGCCAGGTCAGCCAGGTGAGTGCAAGCCCCACGTGGGTCGTTGCCCCCCCTCCCATGAAGTTTGAGGACTGTAACTAACCGCTCTGAATCTCAGCGTCCATGTCTGCGTAGGGGGCACCACCATCCCCTCCCTCCACATGGAAGGCTTTCTTTGAGGGCTGAAGGAGCTGAGAGCTGCAGGGCCTGGCCCGGCCCTGGAGCTCTGAGCACGCGGCGTGCATTAGTTCACGCCATTGGGTTACGAAGCCAAAAAGCAAAGTTCTCACAGCGACGCCTGTGTTACAGAGCAGAACTGCTCCACAGGGGGTTCCTAGCGGTCAGCTTTACAGAAAGGGGCTCTGGTGGCTTCGTGGTCACCCATTGGGCTGCTAACCGAAAGGTCAGCAGTTTGAAACCACCGCCCGCTTCATGGGAGAAAGATGAGGCTTTGTGCCCCCGTGAAGCACCCACAGGGGCCGTCCTCCCCTGTGCTCCAGGGTCGCTCTGAGTCGGAATGGGCTGGAGGGCAGTGAGTTTGGAGTCCGCCTAGTCCACTGTAAGCCGAGACAAAGTCCCCGAACCTCAGTTTCCTCCTCTGTCAGAGGGGATGCATGATGCCATCGGGGAAGCAGCATTGCACTGTGAACCACAAGGTCGGTGGTTCAAACCCACCAGCGGCTCCGAGGGCAACAAGGAACGCGGCCTGCTCCCACGGATGTTCCTCCTGGACCCCTGCATGGAGTCACTTGAGTCAGCATCCGCCTGAGAGCAGGGGCTCCGGTTTGGGGGAGAGAACTGAAGGTTCTGGTATGTTCTGGTATGTTCTCAGGAGGCGGCCCCTGCCTGTCACCCTCCTTTGTGGGGGACCCCGGTGAAGACCCACCTCTTCATCTCCGTGCCAAGCTTATTCTCCAGCAGCTCCAGCGCCTTCGGGGGCAGGATGCCCTGGAATTCGGAGTCGGCAGGCACAAAGGCAATCTGGGAGCGGAGAGAAAGCGGCTGGCTGTGCAGCTGCCTGGGGCCTGGCTCAGTGGTCTCCTTCACCCTGGGCTCCGGCTGCTCCCCAGGGGCCTCGCCGGAGCCTCCCAACAGCCCAGGGGAGAGAGGGGCCAGCGAGGAGCCTGTCCAGCCCCTGTGGGAGGACTGGGGCCCTGGGCTCCTGCTTCCCATCTTGGGGAGTCTCCAGCCACTCCTCAGAGGATGATGTGTGCCTGCTGTGTGCAGGCACCCAGGGGCAGCACTGAGTGAACCAGGTAGCATTTCCCCCAGGGTCCCTGTCCTTTGCCTGTCCATGTCTGGCCCAGAGTGGGAAGCCTGTGATTGTCCTGTGTCCCCGGTGGGAGGCAGGGAAATGGATGAGTACGGTCACATCCACTGGCCCCTGTCTCTGAACTTTCAGAAACTGAGCGGCCTTGGCACATCCAGGAGCCCTGCGCAATGCGAATGGTGGATTCACTAAGCCGCTAACTGAACATGGGGGCTTTGAGTCCACCCTGAGGCACCCACCGTGGGGAGGAAAGGCCTGGCAATCTACTTTTAAAACCCCAGGGAGCTTTAGAACAAAAATACTCCCTGAAGTCTTCTCAAAACCAAGCTAGAGTTTAGCTTAACTAGCAGAAAAGGTCTGCAGAAGCATGGTGTGGTGCCATGAGCCACAAGGTCAGCAGTTCGAAAGCAGCCACTGCTCCACGGGAGAAAGACAAGGCTTTCTACTCCCAGAAGGAGTCACAGGCGCAGCCCCTGTCCTATAGGGTCGCCCCGAGTCGGCACTGAGTCGATGGCAGTGAGTTTCTTCTCTTTTGGTTTTTGTTTTGGATCAAAGCATCCCTGGGGGGCTGCGGGTTAGGCACTGGTCTGCGAAGGCCAGGTTCAAACCCACCAGCCACCCCCAGGGAGAAAGATGAAGTTCTCTGCTCCTCTAAAGACCCACAGTCCCGGAAAGCCTTGACAGGGGGCCCGTGAGTCAGCCTCAACCGATGGCAGTGCTTGGTTAGGTGGGAACAAGTTGGCGAGAGATGAGATAGGACACTGAGGGCGGTGCGTTGGCACTGATTGGGCGGGGGTGGGGGGGTGGGGTGAGGTGGGGGGTAGCAGGGGAGAATGGTTGCCCAGCTGGAGGTCTGTAAGGAATGCCGCTGCAGTACACGCAGAGGTGGTGGGCTGTTGTGCCTTCTGCTGTGTACATTCTCACCAACACTCCCCAGGGAGCTCAGCCCTCAGGGTTGCTATGGTAGCCGGTTTGGTTCTGCAAGGCCAGGGCCACTGGGCGGATAGCTGGCGGTGCCTGGGGAAGCAAGTGACGAAACGGGCATAGGGTGAAGAAGAGGAAGCCCTGCCTTTGGGGAGCAGGAGGTTGGCTGGGAACCCTTCCTCGGCCAAGTAGGCACTGTGGGCTGGCTGGCAGGCACTCCCTCCTCCCAGAGCCTCTCTGGGTTCCTCTAGAATGTGGGGTTCACGATGCCTGCCTGCTCCCAGGACAGCAGTGAGAGTCCCAAGAGGTTGTAAATGGGGAATCCGGCATACCAAGCTTGGCACCTGTCCAGGAAATCATAGCGCGGGGCCATGGAAGATGGTATTACCCAGCTTCTCTGCGTCTTGTTCTCCCCTGCCGAAGAACTGTCCAGCCAATACTTATGAGTCCCGACCAGATGCCGGGTTCATATTGCTGCCTTTGAGTCCTCCCCTGGCCTATGGCGACCCCACACACGGGGGAGTGAGGCCCTGCTCAGTCCTGGGTTGTCCTCTCCACCCGGCAGGATCACACCCCTGTGACCCACAGGAGGCTGATACCTTCCTGGTCTATCTAAGTGTGGCAGCTCGGCTGAAGTCTGTCCAGCGTCGTGGTAGCCCGCAAGTCTCCCCTGACTAGCCAGGGGGTCGTGGCTACAGATGAACCACGTTGTCTGGGGCTGACCCAGGGCTGCGGTTTGGAAGGTGGGCGTTTAGCCATGGGAGCAGCAGCCCCTCTGCCCCCTGCCCATGCAATGCAGATTGTGGAAGACATGCTTTTGCACCTGGAACGCCACCGCTCTACTTCAGAGAACGAAACCGGGGAGGGTAGGATACGGAGAACTCCTGTGAAGAGCGAGCTTCCCCAGATGTCTGCCATCAGGCGTGGGCCTGGGTAGAGGGGGCGGATGCCCTCGAGGTGCCAACAAAGCCTGGGCGGGCACTGGTGTGAGCTTGCTTTATCAACACACAACCCCAGTGACCTCAGATCTGCTAGCCTGCCCCAGTTTTCCTGACTGGCAGCCTCTCAGAGGTCAAATGAGACCATGGATGGAAGGTGCTTGCTAAGCCCCCAAGTGCAAAACCAACACACAGACATTTACCCAGCACTTCCTGTCTGTCACACCTAAGGAGCTCTGGCGGCACTGTGGGGTAAGGGCTGAATTGCTGACTGCAAGGTCAAGCTGTTCAAAACCACCAGCCACTTCTTGGGAGAAAGATGAGGCTGTCTGCTCCAGTAGCAATCCATCACCCTGACAACCCTATGGAGGGTCGTTGCTACTCGGAATCAACCCAGCAGTCGTGGATCTAGTGTTGTGGGGTTAGAGGCCGAGCCCAGTGTTGGCCAGGTGGGATGCAGTCCCTCTCCCTGACATTCAGGCGGGCAAGACAGGAGAGCAGCAGGGGTGCAAAGGGGACTTTTGCGGTCCTTTAACACTGCACCCTCTCACTGGGCATCTGGGGGGTTCCTTTCAGCTCCACCAAGGATGCCCTGTCTTTGCCAGTTGGTTCTGAACATGCTAGAAGCCACTTCTTTGCTGTCTCTGTCTCACTGCCTTGTGACCAATCACCGCCCACCACCATCAACATGATCACCCCCGCCCCCCACCATCATTTCTATTATCACCAGCACCATTGCCATGATCAGCAGAGACTGAGAGGAAGGCCACCTGAGAACTCGAAGGCTTTGATTGGGGAGGTGGGTGAAAGGGGTGGGAGGCAGGATTGACGTTTCGGAGGGGAGAACGACTATGGAGACCCCCCAGGCATCGGATAAAGGAGTTGAACATGCACTGCAAGCGATGGGGGCGGCCAGGAGGTGTTTTGGCCAGGAAAGTGCACGGTCAGGTGTGTGCTTAGAGAGAGGCTGAGAGGGGTCCTAGGACAGAGAGAGGCGTATGGGGAGGACAGGCCCATCCACCACCACTCAGGAGACCAACTCTGGGCCTCAGTGGAGCAGGAACGGTTGGAGCGTGGGGGACCTGGTTGCCGAAGCAGAAGCCTGGCAGTGAGATGCTATAGTTGGGGAGAGGGCTGCTTCTTCTTATCCTCTGCCTCCTCAGCCCCACCTTCCCCCCGGGGCCCAGATGACCACTCCGTCTCACCAGGTCTGCCTCAGCAAGCCAGCTAGACGACATCAGCGACATCAGCGGAAGTGCCCAAGGCCACACCTGCCACAGCCAGGGTCCCAAGTGGGATGAGCTGGAATAGCTTCTCAGCTCCTACAGCCTTGGGTTCACAGTCAGCCCTGGGCCACAGAAGAAGCTGCCCCCACCCCACCGAGCCGCTATCAGGTTAACGTTCCTCAGCGGCAAAGCCGACTGTGGCCCCCTCTTGCCCCCAAGCCTCCTCCCTCCACCTTACCTGCCTCCCCGACCCTCCAGCCGCCACACAGACAGAGCCACCCACCTGGCTCTTCTCCCCAGGCCTCTCGGATACCCTGCGCCTTCTATCCGGAGTCTTGGCCCTCTTCTTGGCCTTCGAATGTCCATATCATTTACAAAGTCCAGCTCACCTTCTCTGTGTGGCCTGCCCTCCCCCCATCAGGCAGCACGCCCCACCCCCACCCTAAACTCTAAGCCCACCACTTTGAGTCTACCCTCAAAGAGGGCAGGACCAGTTGCCGCCCAGCCACCTGGCTCACCGTGGCCCGGTGGATGTCAGAGGCGAACTCTGCTCCACGAGGTTGGGGTGTTTCAGACGCAGACTGCCAGGCCTTCCTTCCACAGTGCCTTGAACTTCCAACTCTTCGGTTAGCAACCAAGTACATTTAATAGCTTGCACCACACTGGGACTCTTCCTTAAAGGCAAACTCACCAAGACACACTGCCCTCAAGCTGACTGACTCTCAGTGGCCCTCTAGGACAGGTTGGACTGCCCCTGTGGCGTCCCGAGATTCTAACTCTTTATGGGAATAGAAAGCCTCTTCTTTCTCCTGCAAAATGGCTGGTGGTTTTGAACTGCTGACCTTGCAGTTAGCGCCCCATCAGGAATAGCCACTACGCCACCAGGGCTCACCCCTTAAAGGCAACTCCCTGCCACAGAGCCGATGCTGACTCATGGTGACCCATTAGGACCAGGCAGAACTGTCCCTGTGGGCTTCTAAGACTCTCTTTATGGGAGTAGAAGGCCTTGCTGGTTCTGGGTTTTGAACTGCTAACCTTTTGGATCACAGGCAAATATGTAACCACTATGCTACCAGGGCTCCTCCTTAAAAACAAGGACTACATAATTCTTAATGGTATCTGAAACCCTTCATTCCCAATCTCTCTGGCTAATTCCATTCAGATGCATAAACACAATATGCATATGCATACACACTTATATTTTCAACCCAGTAAATTCCTGTTAACTGAAGCCTCCCTTAGGTCTTACGCCAAGAGCCAGGGAGGCGCTGAGGGGTGTAGAGGAGTATAGGCAGAGGGGTGTGATGAAAGCTACATGGAGGAGACAGGGGGGCAGACAGGGGACCCCATGCTCTGGTCCTCCCCACTGGGTGACAAAGCATTAGCCCCACTTCCCTTATTGGATTCAGCGTGTGCTGGCCCCAGCAATCAGTGTGTTCTCTGTCTCTCTCTCTCTCTCTCTCTCTCTCACACACACACACACACACACACACACACACACACACACGGGTAAACACATGCAGAGCCCCACCCAGCCCCACAAATACCAGCCTGAGAACTGTGAGGGGGCCACCAGGACCCCACACCCATGATTTCTCTCTCAGCCAAGCAAGACAGGAGCCTCCCCCAGCTCCAGAGGAAGAAGCAGGAGCTCAGAGTGGAGCTCCCTCTGTCAAGGTCAAAGGCTGGGGCAGGAGGGAGCAGGGTCTGAATCTGGGCCGCTGGACACTAGAACATGTGCTGTTTCCATGATGCCCTGCAGCATGTGAAGGCGTGTCTCCATCAACAGTTACTCATTAAGGGCCGGCAACGTTCCCTACTCCCCTCCCCCTCCCCCTCCCCACACCCCCTCCCTCAGAGCACCCTGCCCACTACCTTTGAGCCACCATGGGTAGTGGAGAAAGGGCAGGAAGGCCACTCCCCTCCACACCTCATGCCCTCACACCAGGGTCCAGGCTTCTCCCAGGAAGAGGTTGGTGGTAACGTGGGCAGCACTGCCTGAAGACCTCTCCCCACTGTGACCTCTGCTCAGGGCACTGCACAGAGGCAAGTTGACTGTAAACTACTTAGCCAATGACTGCAAACCGGCCCAGACCGATCCAGCACCTACGTGCTGACAGCAGCATTGGCCCAGGAGGGGGCAGGGCAGGGGAGGCCTGGGCAGGTCCATGCCCCTGGACTACCTCCCCTTGCGGGGACCCCCGAGCACAGCCACCCAAGCAGGAGGTGAGGCAGGGACTGTAGGTGGTGGGGGCTGCCTGGGACCTACAGTCATAGATGTCAGCCCTAGTAGGACCTTTAAATGACCCTCTTTCTCACCCCCTCGTCCTGACTAACATTCTGTGCACATGAGGAAACAGAGTCCCCGAGAGAGACGAGGACTCAACCCAAATCTCCAGGCAAAGAGTCCAAGCTCAAAGCCACGTTCCTCTTCCCGACTCCCTGCGTCTGTGCCTGGCCAGCTGTGTGACCTTGCCAAAGTCACTCAGCCGCTCCGGGTCCTCATTCCCCATCAGCCTCAGGCTCATAGCTCCCGACATGATCACTCCACAGGACCAGTCATAGCGGGGCAGCCCTTCACCGGCACCTCCCCACTGCCCATCTCTTCTCTGGTCTTCAGAATAACCTATACCTCTCAGAGAAATCAGAACACCTGCGCAGGCAAAGGTCACCCAGAGGATTTGCAGCAGAGGTGGCCCTGGCACCCGGGTCTGTGATTCCCACTCCCGAGGTGAGGAAGACAGGTAACCCACAGAGACCCAGAGCCTTCTCCACACTAGAGGATCTGCAGTTCTCCCCCCAGAGGTGCTCAATCCCACCCTACATGCTAACAAGATCCCCAAGGCATGTCTCAGCGGGGGTTGGACTGGAAGGAACCAGCTCAAAACCCTGCCCCAAACGTATACCATCAGGGTTTGCCTGGGCCCACTCCAGGCTTGGCAGCTCAGAGAAACACACGGCCCTCCTTCCAAGGTGGAGAATCTTGCTCTACGTCACCCAGAGCAGAGCTCCAACCCCAGCTCTGCATTAAGGAGTCAGGGAACCCCACCTTTCAGAGTCCCCGCCTTCTAGCATGTAAAAGTGAGCTAGAGACCTTACGGAGAAGCTCAAGATGAGGACTGACTTCCACCCAGAATACAGAAGTCAGATGATAAGCACTCATCAATCTTTGCTTAAAGCGCATGGGTCATGTGCTGTGTTTCATTGTGCCTCACCCTTGCAGGACTTCGGGTCAGCCCTTATGATAAGTGGAGGGATGGGTGGGTGGGAGGATGGATGGATGGATGGATGGATGGATGGATGGATGGATGGATGGATGGATGGATGGATG